AGTTGTAATATTTGCGAGACCTCGCAACCAGCCTTTACTGCGACGAGCACCTCTGCTCCTCCGGCAGCAAGTAACGAAACGACCACAACGATCTCGGCACAACCACAAGCGTCATCATCGCCCAGTATTGGAACATCTCGTGATACTTCTTCGGCCGCGATAAATATGGCTATTCAACAACCAACAGATTGGCCCAGTTCATCGTTGGTGAATAAGAATAAAGTTCCGATGGCATCGACGTCAGTGTCAACGATCGCCACCTCTACGGCACATCATGCAATTCCAGCAATATTACATCCAGCGAAGACGCTTGCACTCGTTGAGCAGGTTACCGCACGTCAAAACGACGAAATTGGGCCAGCGACATTGGGTACCTACCGGCCACATGTTGGGCAACATCCCATGTCATCAACAACTAACAATGCCGTTCCAATAAGCGGCGAGAATTACACTCAACAACATATGCTGCAATTGGAGCTTTTGGAAGAGGAGAAGAAAATTGAGCAGAAATATTTGCAGAGGAAATATGAAATATTGAGTCAAAGTGGCGGTTCGCTCATTGGAAATAGTCATATGACAGCCACTCCAACCCCTTCACAGCTTGCAGCTAGACAGGTGATCCCGAAAGATTTACCGTGCTTTAATGGAAATCCAGACGACTGGCCGCTGTTCATAAGCAATTATGAGAACAGCACAGAAGTTGCGGGATACACGAACGCGGAAAATCTCATGCGCTTGCAAAAGAGTCTGAAGGGCAAAGCGCTAGAGATGGTACGCTGTAAACTTCTCCTGCCGTCAATGGTTCCTGAAATAATTCAAACACTTAAAATGTGCTTCGGACGACCGGAGTATATCCTTGAATCGCTGATCGAAAAAGCCAGGCGTATTCCGCCGCCAAAAGAAAAGCTCGACTGTTTTATCGAATTCGCCTTGGGTGTGCGAAACATCTGCTCTACCATGGAGGCTTGCCATATGGAAGCACACTTAAATAATCCGATGCTGGTAAGAGAATTTGTTGATAAGCTGCCCAATCAACACAAATTGAATTGGGCTATGCAGCTACGCGATGAACGAGTGCCTGTCATGAAGGCGTTTAGCGATTGGATTTTTCTAATCGCTGAAGCTGCGAGCAAAGTAGTTCCGCCGTGTGTTTCCAAAAAAAGCGCTTCGATTAACATGCATACGCAATCGTTACGAACGGTCAACCATGGTAAGGCAACATGTTTTGCATGTAAATGTGAGGACCACAAAATCCAGAATTGTGACGAATTTAAAAAATTCAGCATAGAACAAAAGTGGGATGTAGTAAAGGAAAACAAATTATGTCGTCAATGCCTTAACGCGCACCGTCGCAAATGCTTCTTGAATAAAGAATGCGGTATCGATAGCTGCAAGTCAAAACATCATGCGCTTTTACATAAAAGCGCACCGCTAGTAAGTAATGCACCGGCAGTTCAGTCAGAACGAAATGCACCATCTCCAACAGTGAATAAGCAGTTGGTGAATACTCATACAGATGTCGAAGAAGAAACTTCACCATGTTTCCGCATTATACCTGTACGCATTTATTCGAAAACTAAATCAATAGATACCTTCGCCTTTTTAGATGAAGGATCTTCCGTCACCTTAATGGAACAAAAAATCTACGATTCGCTGGATCTGTGTGGAGTACGAGAAACATTGTGCCTTCGCTGGACTGGTGAGAACTCGCGAATTGAAAACGGCTCGATTAGAACATCGATAGAAATATCTAACGCAGACCACGGCACGAAATACAATATAAACGAAGTGCACACAGTCCAGCAGCTTGGCCTACCTAGCCAGTCGCTCAACATGGAGAAAATTGCGGAGAGGTATTCATACTTGCGCGGCCTTCCTATAAAATCGTACGAAAACGCAAAGCCAACAATCCTAATTGGAGCCAACTGCTGGAAGCTGGCCGTACCAATAAAAACTCGCGAAGGCGACTGGTTTGAGCCAATTGCAACCAAGTGTCGCCTAGGATGGACATTGCAAGGGAGTACCGCTAATTACTCTGGCCCGCAGAAATTGAATATTCATGTATGCGACTGCGAAAAAAAGTACGAAAGTCTTCATGAAGAAGTGAAGGAGTATTTCAGTCTCGAAACTTCACAAGCAAAAAAGCTAATGTCTCCCGATGACCAAAGGGCGCTGCAGATATTAAAATCTACGTGTCGTCAACACAATACGCGGTACGAAGTAGGCTTATTGTGGAAGCAAGAGGTTGAAAAGCTGCCTACTAGTTATGACAACGCACTAAAGCGCTTTATCTGTATGCAAAGGAAGTTGGCCAGAGATACGAACCTGCGACGCAACATGCAAGAACAAATCAACAACTTGTTAGTCAAGGGCTACGCAAGAAAGCTGGCAATAGACGAAATAAATATCTCAACGGATCGTGTGTGGTACCTACCGATTTTTATCGCG